GTTTGAGCGCGAGCGGCGAAAGCGTGGTACCGGGTCCTTTTACCTGGATAAGATTTTAGGTGTGTGTGTGCCAAGGTTGCTACTGCCCCTCAGCGTTAAGTTACATGCTGATTATAAAGAATCCATAAGCAACACTCCCTTCCCCCGCCTGTTTCCAATTTCTACTTCCAGCCAAGGCTTGCTCGCCCTTCTCCCCTCTTACGCCCTCCAAGACTCAAAACAGCACCTACATCCCCTCCCGCTTCTTTCTTTCCGTTCCCGCCCCTCTAGCATCTCCTTCTTTCGCCCCGGCCAGTCATCGCAAATCGATACATGGAGCCAACCCAGCTGAGTTTTAGTTGTCAAATTTCAAAAGCAAATGGACTTGCGAAACATAAAGAACCCTTCTGTATTCCTGCGGTCACTAACAGGACAGTATTGTTTTTTTTTTCATTTGTTTTAAAAAAACAAGTTTTTAAGAGCGAAGACGGTTTGACTGCTTGCGAAAATATCATTTAGCTAAATTCCTGCATCGGAGTACGAATGTGCCGATGTCTCTTTGCTCGTGCGGAGAGGCACTCATACTTTGGTCACTTTAATATCCAAATGCACTCATTTCCTAATGTTTGGCTGCTTTTGAATTGTTTCAATCGACACAGGGAAATCTGCGTAATGTAATCCTATTGCATCCAACACTTTTTAGAATTGCTGATATTCAAGTTACCTGATGCAGTGACTCGTCCATCTGCATTGTCCGATATATGCCGATCGGGATATCGGCCACCGATCCGCATAACTTTTGGTATAAACGGCCATATGTTCTGATCCATAAGTCGTCTGTTGTTATTTTAAACTGCAAACAGCAACTTCACTAGTTCCCGAAATACCAGCATCTACAAAACTTAATGACCTACACTAGCTAGATATCCCGAGCCTCGAGAGTGGTCGATTCCAAGAAGCAGTCGAATAAAATCCACTACATAATCTTTGACATGCGCTTGGTAGAGTAAGCGATCAAGCATATTGGCAGAGAACACACCACCCTGTGCGAACGGTAGCCGAAACATATAGGGCATCGAGGATCCACGCTTCCGCTCCTTCTGCAGTAAATTCATACATTTAGATCAGTTTCGCTATCGGTATTTGACGAATCCTGTGGAAGCACATTAAGTTATATATTTTATTTATTAATTCACACACATCGTAAAAGAAGTTGATGCAAAAATACAGTACTTTCAAAACCAGATTGCGGGTTGCCCAATACTGCAAACTTCGTAGTACTGTCGACTTTTCCCAACTGCTCAACCAGAAAGATTACCCCACCTCTTTAATTCCGCTATGTTAAAAGGGGATAGAGTAAGAATGCGAAACTTGGTCACTAACGAAGGCAGAAGAGCAGATGCTGACTGTAACAGAAAGAGCGATGGAGCGAAAGATGCTTCGCTTATTTCTTCTTGATTATATTAACAGCCAGACTGTCCGTCAGACGAGTGGTATGCAGGATAACATTGTGTTCACGCAAGAAAAACGAGATAGTGCATGTTGCTTGCCTTGCACCGTATCTTAATCATGTGTGTCACCATTTGGCAGAGGTCATTTGAGTGATTATCCCATACTCAAGTGACTCTCGCCGAATGGTGGGCTCTGACAGAACCCTAGAAGAAGACTGACACAGCTGCATCCCAGTAACATCACTGACAGGGGATACCCACAGTGGTTGTCCGAGCAGTTCTGGATTTTTGGTATAGACATAGGCATTTTACAACGATTGTGCGGGCAGTTATGGTATGTTTAGTACGTCGTTTGTCCCATGTTCTTCCACCACACCGAGCAGAGAGGGAAAGGAAAAGAAGCAAAAGTGATACTGGCGTGATAGGTTTTCTAATTTATGCAATAACATAGATAAAATTCCGAAGGAACTTTTTCGTATTTGGACTGCTTGAGCGCGTACTGGTCGTCAGCATCGAAAAGCATGAAACGCATATTACTGGAATGAGTCAACTCGGTAATCAACCGTAGCTTTGGGAACATCCTGGAACACACTCTGATTGATGGTCTTTTTTTTAATTCTCTTAATAACTAGTGCAGGTGCTACCTAATGAACAATCAGTAAATTTGCACCTCTTTGAACGCTCTCGCTCGCTTGCCTCTTCCATCAGTGAGACGATACATCAAATTTATAAATTCCCAAAACGTTTCTGTTGCATTCGGAAAGCCACAATAATTGGCCAACACACGGGCTGTCCATGCGAAGATGCGTTTTTTGCAAAGTTCCCCACAGTTTTTTTCGCTACCGGCACCGGTTTTTCCGACAAATGTTTCTAGCTG